GCTGAAAACTTTTATAGCCTATTAAGGTACAACATCATCTTGAAGACAACATCACATACTGAATACTGATTACATGCTTCCTGCAATTCATCAGTTAAGTTTAGGGTTTAGAAAGTCAAATTGTTGCCCATAAGTTCCTAGTTGTCTTCAAAATATGCGAGGATACTGCCAAAACATTCAAACATTTGTAAACTTTCATGTTGGAAAGTATAAATAACAAAATTATTATTACGAAAAAAAAATAATAAACCTGTCAGTTCGTGTCAGTATTTAAAATCTTTAGTTTGTCTACATTTTTCCATATTTTAATATATATTTGTTCCGCACTGGCAAAAACAGCGTGTATGACTTGTATTCATCTTAAAATAAAACTTTATTGTATGTCAGGGCGAGAAATATCAAAAAACAACCTAAAAACATTTCAAAAACAAAAAATATTTCATGATCACGGCAAAAAAATATAAAAACCAGGGGGGAGAATTGTTATTTACAAAATCCGGGGGGGAGAATGCTGCTGTAGCGGGCTCAGAATTGAGCCTGGTCAGTGGTAAATACCATGGTCAAAAGGAACCATGTGGCGTCAGCAGAGCTTCTGCGGTTGCGCAGAAGGGTGAAATCCGCTATATTGGTGGCTTCAAAAAGATGGCGGCGAAGTTACCGAAAAATGACGAGCCGGTCCTCCAGGAATTATTATATAGCTCAGTGTATACGGCCGTTGCGAGTTGCTATGACTACAGTGTTTCCACGTGCAGAAAATATTTCTATACTTCTCTCAATTTCTATTTCTCAAATACCCTCTACCCTCCAAAACCCCCAAACCACATAAAATTTCTAACAATCATTAACTAATTTTGTTTAACCTAGGCGAGGGGTTGCTGCATGCATGTATTTCTACTCTAACTCTACTTCTAAATTGTTCTTCATCATAAATTTCATAGTTGAAATAATAACTTCTATTCTCCTTTCCGTTACTGCGTTGCAAATTGTCCAATTGTTGCAATCTTTCAAGCCATAGATTCGCCATGTTGTTTATCACAACTTTGTTTGAGTGTGGTTGAAGGGAGGTATGACCTACATTCAAACTCCACTCAAACTCGGCCTCTACTTCGAGAGTGAGTGCCGTTTGTGAATGGTCCGAGGGCAAGTGTAACTTTCCACTCATTGAGAGTGAAAGAATACTCAGTGAGTACAGAGTTGCACTTTCGAGTAATGAACCTCTACTCATTGAATGTGAGTGTGAGTAAGCTTTTAGAATACAGGCGTAAAACGTATCTAAATCACCAGCCTTGCACTACAATCATGGCAAAAATATTTCCAAATATTTTGTAAATATATGTAAAATCACCTTGATATCACATTAGCTTAAATGTCATCTTTTCCACTCAGTAAAAGGAATAATATCCTAGCATGCAAGCTAGCATCTACGTTTAGATTTGAAAACATGTGTTTTGTATAGGCAGGCATACAGGTTTCTCATATTGTTCGTGGCGGTCATCAGAACGTTACTGATCGATATTGTGAATTTACAGCCGACACACTCGTATCCGACATAGTGATGTGAATACTTCGAATAAATGTATGTGCTTGTTTTTAATAGAATGGACAAATAGATATATATTGATTGTAAATATATAAATAGAATAATATATCCTTCTCGGAAGTGCTAAACTGCATTATTTTTGACATTTTGAGACCAATGATGATATGATTACTTGTAAAATAAATATGTCCTTGAATGTAAATATATAAATAGAATGCAAAAATAGATATATCCCTCTCGGAAGTGTTAAACTGGCTTATTTTTGACATCTTCAGACCAACTATTTGGATATATACACGGGTGAATAGAACCCGGAGTAACTGACGAACTGAAGTTTCTCTGCGAAGTTTCAAAATCTTTACTGTTGTCAGACTACAAACTAAGGTGAGCTTTACATATCTTGTGCTTTATTAGTTAGGAAATTTATTTTATTTGCATATACAGTAGATTTCAACTTCTAACTTGGTGATCTGACACAGCTATATAGACGTCTAAACGATGCGATATATCTGTATAGAGTCATAGACGTCCGTTGAATACGTTACTATCGTATCGAAAGTCACTTATAAAAATTATGCAAAATTTTGATTTGCACAAGCATGATCATGCTGGAAAAGACCTATGCGAAATTATTTTTGATAGCTTTATAATGAAATTTTGGTTCAATGTAACTATCACACAATTTCAATTTGAAATTCTTGCAAAGAACAATGATTAAAATTCCTATAAATTCCACGTAAATTCTCCCCCGATTTCGAAGGTTCATAGTGTGAAAGACGTCTTTCGGTTGGTTAAGGGCGATATTCAAAACCTAGGTGAACACATTTTAGGTTACCTGCTTTAATCCGATAGATGCATGTTTCCAAATGCGAGTTTCTCAGTAGTAAATCAAGCGAGCGAACGTTTTAATTAAGATGTACCCGTTAAACCTTGTGATTGTGAGAACACTACAACCGGGCTTATATATAAATTCATAAGAGATGCGTGCAGAGGAGGCTAAGATAATCCGCAGTTTTGACAAAGAGCGCTGTAGCAATCAATGTTAGGTTAATTAGATGTTACGATAAATAGATCAGCATAAAATTATTCATTTGGTATTTTCAGTCCGTTTATTTATCATGTTAATATTTCAAGATATATTCTCTACACATGCAAATGATGGATTTCCGTCTGAATGTTTGCCTGTTGCTGATACTTTTTGCGGCATTTTCTGATGTTGATGGCCGTAAATCACATAGGGCCATTTTCAACTTGACGAATTTTCTTTTCACGTGAAAAAGAAATACAGCAAAGTAACTTACCTGCAAAAATACTTTTCAAAACCATATCATTTCACTAGCGAAACACTTCGACGGGATTTCTGATTTAGCTTTATTATCATCTCGTTAGTGTCGACGCGACCAGAATGCGACGTATGCATGTAACCTGGGCTTAAGTATCTTTGGCGTGCTCCAAAATCTTATCTATTCGTAGAGGAACTACGCGTTGTAAATATAATGGTAGAAATATAGAGGTAAACACATGGTTGCGAAGAAGTATGAAATAAGTGAGATATCAATTTCTAAAAGAAAAATAATTTATAAAAGTTCTAGGCCCTTGTGTTAAGTTAGTGTACCTTTTTACCAGAGCTAGTCAAAATTTATGCATTCCGATTGGGTTACAGAAAATGTAAATTAACTAACTCGCTGATTGGTTTAAAACGAAATTCCCCCTTTTTCACATATACATGTTAGTGATCTTACCTGTTGCAAGGTGCGACGATAGGGAAAAACCTGACCGAGGTCATGAAATGACCAGACGATGAGGAAACGGCACTCCAGTACTTTCTTGGGGGAAGTACAATATACTTTAATTTACATTTTAAAGTGCTAAAACAGGGCAACCTCTCTGAACTTTCTCATCAGACTCATGCATCTTATACTTACTCAGAATACCATTAGCAAAGCATTTCAAAGTGCGCTATGTAATTTCAATACCTTCATACACAGAGGGTAACTAAAACGATAATTGGGGGGTGGGATGAATATTCATGTATTCAGTTCTGTGCTAAAGAAATCCGTCCGGCAGAACTGAATGTCCAAATTATCGGTGAGGATAAATAGATCAATACATAAGGAAGTCGGATTACACGTCAGTCACGTCTATGCAATGATACAATGCCAACTTACCCTGTGAAAAAGGTTTTAGTGTGAATATGCTCTTTTTGAAACCGCTGGTAACCTATGTCTTGATATTATGCATCACATTTGTCTCTGCTGACGTAAAGGTAAGATTTAAATCATTATCTTGTCAAATCCGAATTTTTAGCTCTCACATTAAATTGTCAAGTTAATGCGGAATTAGGAGCTAATACGAGTAAATAATTTTTCATGCGAAATGAAATGATTTTTTTGTGTATCTTAGCAGATTGTGGACATTCAAACAGGTTATGATCCTGGCTCGACAGGTACTATTTTTAACTACACCATTTGCCCTTCATTAAACAAAAAAGAATTGCATTAACATAATTTAAAATATTCAGAAATACAAATCGGAATCTCAATAGCGCATTTTGTGCAAGTCAATAAGCGTAAAAAGATATTCAATAGTAACAATTTGTTCGGTCATGTGTTAAAGCTGAAAACCATTAGTCAAAGATGGAAATTCAATAAGAATACAAAGTACATTCAAAAACGCAAAATACATTTTCGTTTTAACACAATAAACCTTCAATTAGAGAATAAAGTAGTTTCATTAAGGTTGTTATGAACACAAATATATACTCGTAAAAAAGCGTTGTGCAAGCGGAAAATGATCCAATCAAATTTTTGGTTAGTCACTCATTTGCATTGGGAATCTTCGATAAAAATCGTTTCGTTCGACATCATCTTGGGCATTTTTGCTAGTTTGTTACACGTCGAAGTACTGTCAGAATGGCACAACGTCGAAGAATATCACAACAAGACAAAGAACGGTTGGTTAGAGCATTCGAAGAACAGGATCAAGACTACCTTGCTTTGGCTGAAACTTTAGCAATAAATCGTTCAACTGCCAGGAGTATAGTTGCTCGATATCTGCGAGAAGGACGAATTGAAGAACAACCACGTGGAGGACGCCTCAATGTTCGATTTGATGCAGACATGACAAGATGTGTGCAAAGAATAGTAGATGAAGATTGCACTTTGTCACTACGGGCCATAAATGCAGAATTACGACGTCGAATGCCTGAGAAGCCACAAGTTCATGAAAGAACTATTGGTAAACATTTGGATGGAATGCTATACTCGTTAAAGCTATCGCGAATACTTCCAGCTGATCGTAACAGGCCAGATGTTATCGAGGGACGCCACGAATATGCTAACTGGTTCTTAGAGGAGGCGAATATTCATCATCCTGTATTCATCGACGAATGTGGCTTCAATATATGGACAGCCAGAAGTCAAGGACGGGCTCGAGTTGGAGAGCGTGCTTATCGTTAAGTATGCGGGCAGAAGGGACGCAATCTTACCATTTGCCTCGCGGTATCTCAAGTGTTTGGTTTGGTGCATCACACCATTCAGGTTGGTGGGATGACCAGAGATTCCTTCACTGAGTTTCTTGAAGGTACTGCTGCCCACCTTGATGAAAATGAAACTCAATATCTCATTTTTGATGGAGCACCAGCACATCGCCGACCCGAGCAGCCAAGAGACAACGTACATCTACGCCAATTGCCACCATACTCACCATTCCTAAATATTGTCGAGCAAGCGATAAGTTGCCTGAAGGCCAGCATTAAAGCAGACATTTCACGCCCTGTTATGCAAGAACGCTTTGCCGACAGAAATGCGGCACGAAATGCCCACCTTCCCCTTGGTGAATACAGAAAACAATTGCTTGTTCAAGCTGTTGAAAGAAATATTGGATCAATTACAATTCCCAAATGTGCAGCTTGGTTTCGGCATATGCAGACCTATATTCCACGATGCCTTGCCAGGGAGAACATTAATGGTTAAAAATATGTTAATCGCGTGTGTATACTCGAAATATTTACAGTAAAATTGTGTGCCGATAGACGTTCGTAGACTAACAGGCTTGATACAACCGCCCCTGCTTGTCAATAAACCCATGCTGTTGTTAAAATTACATTATTCTGTAATTGAACGTTTCTTGTGTTCAAAGAAAAACGTCTTTTGTGTTTTTGAATGTACTTTGTATTCTTATTGAATTTCCATCTTTGATTGATGGTTTTCACTTTTAATGCATGACCTAGCGAATTGTTAATATTGAATATCTTTTTACGCTTATTGTCTTGCACAAAATGCGCTATTGAGATTCCGATTTGTATTTCTGAATATTTTAAATTATGTTAATGCCATTCTTTTTTTGTTTAATGAAGGGCAAATGGTGTATTAAAGGAAGGGTTGTGAAAAACGTGGTATTGGAGACGAGGGCATTTGCTTGCGGTTTGCATAAAACGGTAAAAACTGTCGGGTTTCCCGCCCATGCAACAATTCTCGATCTCTTTCACGATCTCTTACTTTCTAAATTTCACATGCCCACTTTCTATATGTTTTCATCTTTCAGTGAGTTGTTCTTCCGTTAATGGTATTTGTATACCTCCACTTGCGATTTGTCCTCCTGATCATGACCCCATCCCATGCACTCGATTTCATTGTCCAGGACTTCTTGTTTGCTGTTGGTATGTATTTTTTTATGCCATTTTGGTTACAAACTTGAAATTTTATCGTAACACGGAGAACGATGCCACAAAAAACAAAGTAAACATATTTATACGAATTCCGTGCAGCGCTAGCTGGTGGGTGATCCTAGTTTGATTACCTGATCAATCATTAATTTTTAAACTAATTAATTAAGTACAAAAAATTTCAGGGTATGTTTTATTTATGATTCTTTTCCACAATGCTTTAACGCAAGTCTTTCTTTTTCAGCCCAATTTGGCCGCCTGGAAAGTAAAGCTGGAATAGTCTATTAAAGCATTGATGAAATGTAACATGTCCAGTTTACATGAATTGATTAAAGAAGTTGATAAAAAATTCCAGTCTATATTTGAGTGAATAACTGCATTTTTTTGACAACTACTGTCATATACTGAGTCTTGTTTCTCGATTTTAAAATCCAATCATGGAACGCAACCATTTGGATGGCAACCATCTCTAACAAATTGCTCGAATACAAATAAATAAAGTCGCTACGGACGAAAAATATTACTTGTTGAAAACTGGCTATAGGGCATTGATGTTCTCAGTTCTTGTGTATACGTGTATTATGAAACAGATAACGCAGCATTGTCAAATTAAAAGGCTTATGTATAATTCTGTAATTCCCATCTCGTTCATGACAAATATTTTCATTTATTTCGAGGAATTACTATTATCGTACGAACAGGTTTATGTACATACTCCTAATTTTTGGCATGCATGCAGATTAAATCATGCAGGCTTAGATTGTGCACACAAAATATTTAATACTGAGAGGGCGTTATACCTATCGACATTTTTAATTTCGCGGGACGAGACACTTCGATATCCAAAAGTAAAACGGGCCTTGCACTACAATCATGGCAAAAATATTGCTGAATCACAACTGAAAATGTTCTATACGCATTTTGGTCGCATCGAATGCAATTCAAACAGTATTGACGATGAGATGATCATGAAGTTTACTTTTGTTAATCACCTAACTATCATTTTGTTTAAATTGTTTAAACGCATTCGACACGATATTTTGACGTCGTTAAATGGGTGTATGTATGATAAGCAATGATATAGCCTAGACTGATGCTAAATGTAAAATAACCTTGATCTCACATAACTTAAATTTAACTTTTTCACTCACTAAAAAGAATACTAGGGACATTAGGATGACACAACGAACAACGAGGACGGACTACGAATATGGTTTCGTTTTCAAAGCGCTTATAGCCGAGACAAAAGATAAGGCGAACAAAATTTGCATATTCGTTACGGTATACTTTACTGCCGATCAACCTTGACTACGACATAACAATCTTATTACTCAGTATTAGCAGCAGAATAAACTCAGAAGATATATAGTAACGAAACTGGCTACGCGGCCTTACCTTTGTAGATTGGTTTTGTTAACAAGGGATGGAACTGCAAAGATTTACAAAAGTTACAAAAAGTGAGCGAGATTTCCGCGTGCATGTAAAATCATCCGAGATGAATTTGAAATGACAAGTATTTAGTATTCGCAATCAGTGGAAAAATCAATTCAACCGTAGTCAGCATAGTCCGTTGTCAACATGACAACATCCCTAACATGCGAACAGCATGCATATATACTTTTCGATGTATAGGCACCAGGTTTGAAGGTTACATATTACTCAGGCAAATTCGTTAATATGGCGACCATCGGAAAGAACGTTAAGGCGGATTTCCACTTACAGCGAAATCGTTCGCCAGCGAAATATTTGCATATTTTCTTTTGAATTTTAACAGCATAAATAAATCAGTTCGACTTGACTGTTCTCAATTCAAAAGAAAATATGCAAATATTTCGCTAGCGAACGATTTCGCTGTAAGTGAAAATCCGCCTTTACTGATTGATATTGTTAATGTACAGACGAGACGCTCATATCCGACAGAGAGATAAATATATATATATATCCTTGAATGTAAATATCTAAATAGAATGTAAAAATAATTACAATGTAAAAATAAATATATATCCTTGACTGTAAATATATAAATAGAATATAAAAATAGATATATTCTTGACTATATATAAATATGTAAATTGAAATACTTTGAATGCAAACATACAGAGGGTAAAAACAAATATATCCTACACGGATATGTCAAACTGCATTATTTTTGACATTTTTAGACCGTCGAATGGCACATATATACTCGGTTTAGTAAAACCTTAAGTCATTGGCGAACTGAAGTTTCTCCGCGAAGTTTAGAAATCTTTACTGTTGGCAGTCTACAAACTGAGGTAAGCTTCATCTTGCATTTGAATAGTTTGCAGTTCCCTTAAAACTATCTGAACGTCCGAAAAATTGAATTCTCCCATCGAGCACGTATCTGTCGTAATCAGAGAATCTCTAGCATGCAAAATTTTATTTGAACATGTATGGTTATACTGGAAAAACCGATCCGAAATGCTTGTCTGATTAAAAGCTTTATGTATATTTGGAAGTCTTCTAGAATTTCAGCTATATTCAGTATAATTTAAAAGTTAAACGAGACTTACCTTAAGTCGAAGTTGGACTTGAATTTTATCCCATAAGATATCGTAACCAAGGACTGACATGAAGAACGAACGCAGGCTCACCGGGAGTGACGTGTCAGCATTTGTTTAAAAACAGACGTCCGTAGTGACGTAGCACAAAAATAACCCGAACGTGCAAACAAAAAGGCAGAATGACAACCACATGGGTGTGGTAGGGTGGATCTGTCAGTCCTTGGTTACGATATCTTATGGGATAGAATTCAAGTCCAACTTCGACTTAAGGTAAGTCTCCTGTAACTTTTAAATTCTATCCCATAAGTCGTAACCTGCGGACTGACATGAAGCGTTCAAAGAGTGGCAAGTCACTACAAAGAACGAAAGAAAAAGAAATAATTGCGTTTGACGAAGGAGAACGCTTCCTAGCCGTGTCATATCGAGATTTGCGATGTCAGATTTACCTCGTTCTGATGTGTCGTCATAGTAACTGGAGACCATGTGCTCGCTCTATTTTGACATTTTTTTGTTAATTAAACATATGAGCCATCACATACGCTGTGACGTTATAATGGTAAACTTTTTGTTAATGATCGGTAACCGAAATCAACACATTCCGAACGCACATCACTAATCCGTGATTACTACTAGTTATAATTATAATTCTTTGTACCCGAATACACATTAGATAAAGCACTCTATTAGTATTAAGTAATCACATGTCTATAATAGAAATGTTTAAATGTGGAATGTGTCCAACCCGCTCTTTTCAAAATTTCATCATGCAAGTGCGCCAACATGTATAACAGAGTTGAGTAGTTTTTTAGGACTCGCCAGTTACTATCGCCGCTTTATTGCGAATTTTGCAATAGTCGCCGCACCTCTAACTAAACTTACAACAAAAGAAGCCGCCAGAACACCTTTTGATTGGTCGAACGAGTGCGAAATATCTTTTAAGGAAATTAAACGTCAGCTCTGTTCCGCACGGGATAACGAAAACACGAACCACAGCATACCACCCTTCCGGGGATGGCCAAGTGGAGACAGAATCGCACGCTACAAGATATGCTTGCGCATTATGTGTCTAACAATGCTGACGATTGGGTTGTTTGGCTAGATCCCGTTCTCTTTGCTTATAATACAAGCAAACATTAAACTACTGGGTTCTCCCCGTACGAACTAGTCGGAAAAACACCTCGCATGCCTCTGGAATTAGAATTCGGTGTAACGACTGGGAACCCAAGCACTCAACCGGAGTACGCACAGAAAGTCCGCAATAATCTTCAGAATGTTAGGCAGCTAGCTAGAGAGCACTTAGATAAGGTAAGGTCAGCCAGGTGTTCAAATCACGACAATAAGAACTGGAGGCCCCATGCAGTAGGTCAGACCGTTTGGGTGAAACGCCCAAAGAAAGGTAAGTTCGGTAGGAAGTGGATTGGGCCGTATAAGGTAGTGAAGAGAATGGGGACGACCGAGTTAGCTTGAATGATGGAAAAGTTATGGTAGTTCATCACGACAACCTTAAGACATGCTATATACCACTGGATATCGGCCGAATCGTTGCTCCTGGTCGTGAGTCGGGTGATTTCGCAGTGGTTCACGCATTGCCCGAGCACCCCGTGTTACAACCACTTCCCCGTAGGCCTAGAGGTGACCCCCAACGTTATCAACTTCGGCAAAACATACGTCCTCCCGAACCTTATTCTTACGATTGGTAAATCGTCGATATGTAAAAATGTGTTTTCGGGGACGAAAACTTAAGTGAGGGGAAAATGTAACAATGCACCTATTGTGATTAGATAATGTAACAGTGCACTATTGTGATTAGATAATAATTATAACAGTGCACTATTGTAATTAGAAATATGAGAGTTTTGAGCACATGTATATGGGGAGCACAAGGATGAAATAAAAGACACTTAGAAACTGGATTCAACGTGTGTGTGTGTGTCTATAACGAGGTTAGATCTGAACATGTACCCTTACCGCATGCACATCCGACATCAACTCCTTCCTCGAGACTATGCTCGGGTTTGCAGTTTGCGCGATGGCTTGTTGACCGTTGCAGACGAAACGAAGAATTCCTGCGATCATTCGTTGTTGGAGACGAAGCTGGTTTTGCCATGAACGGCCAAGTTAACACCCACAACGTTAGGGAGTATGCAGCTGCAGGACAACCGCTCGCATTTAACTTCGAAATCAATTCTAGTCAACAAAAACTGACAGTTTGGATCGGACTTTGTGGCAACGGCCAGATAATTGGGCCATTCTTCTTTGACGGAAATGTAAATAGATTAAACTATCTGCAAATGTTGAACAACGACGTGGTACCACAACTTCAGCAAAATTTCCAGATGCAAAGGAGAGGAGCATTCCGAAATCTCTGGTGGGTGCAAGATGGAGCTCCGGCACACCGTTTATAATTGCCGTCCGTGATCGATTATATCTGTCAAGCTTTGAGGCAAAAGTACTTGATATTTTCCAAATGGCCAGAAATTATATTTACACATGCATTTTTGTGGCAATAATCAATTGCCTATCCATGTCATTCCATATCTCTTTCCTAATTTTTATCAAGCATGATATATACATATAATTAACAACCAGTGTTGTACAGCCTTAATACACTGGCGGTCAAAAAGGACTGCTCAAAACAAGTTAAAATGCTCTCAAATGAACGTAACTGTATAACGAACGTAATAATATATGCGAGTAAATATAGACTAGATTACATGCTAAGCTATATGAAATATTAATATTTTGACTATCAGCTCATATACGACTCGAGTTCGCAGAATAACTTAAATAACACTACACTTGTAACTCTGACGTTTTCCGACGAGAAAGGTATTACTCTGTAACACAGAATAGGATCTTAACTACACTGTAGTTAGTCTACTGGAAGGAAATACGTTTAAAGTAGAAAACTCATAGAGTCTGACAAAGTATTTCATATGCGTTTTAAAGACAGGCTACTAGTGTGTCTGCTATTTTACGCGCGTTGACACACGGTTATTCAAACATAAATATTTCGCGTTGTGGATCGAATTTAAAAAATCCCCACGAGGAAATTAAAGAAAAGGTCACGCTTTGTCACAATTTGTTAGTTTTGAAGTGAAAGTTTAATATCGAATGGCACGGAGGGCTTAGAACATGGTGTTATTTTCCCACTCTTTTTGTTTATATATTTTGAATTTCGCGCAGTCTGATTGGTCAAGGACGAAAAATGTAAACAAACACACTGGTTGGCTAACATTATCCACCCTTGTTCCGTAGTCCGTGTTTTCCACCAAGCCATGAAACACAATTGATTAACATAAGAGCTTGCATCTGCTTCCAACACGCTTGTTTTAAGAATAAAATTTGGCTTCGCTTGGGCAATTAAGATACGTAAACTTTATAAATTATGTTTACCTTAACCCACAGTTTACCTAAGAACAGCAGTTTATACAAAATGATTGACGCTAAACCCTTACTAGATTATATCTGTCAAGCTTTGAGGCAAAAGTACTTGATATTTTCCAAATGGCCAGAAATTATATTTACACATGCATTTTTGTGGCGATAATCAATTGCCTATCCATGTCATTCCATATCTCTTTCCTAATTTTTATCAAGCATTATATATAACAACCAGTGTTCTACAGTCTTAATACAGTAGTTATGGTACCAAAAATGCGCCTAACCTCTTTATAATATTTTATACTCTATATGTTTGTCTGAAGTAGTTAAATATATATTTTCGAAAGTTTAGTTTGCTATATAGTGCTGTGCTCATATGATGCGACGTCATGTGACTTATATGTTTTCTATCACCTGCTCTGTCGACCAAGCGTCATTTCAGCAACTGCATGTCGAACTCAGTACGTTCAGTTGACGACCTCACGCAATCATGTTCAAGATAATAACTTTACTTTTTATGATTGTTCAAATTGCATATATATTTTCACAGAACTGTTTTCCCGAGATTTATACGATCATTACAACTGGTGAGTCGTCAAAAAACTTCTCTTGTTCTAACGAAGTCATTTTCGTAGTGTTGAAAATTTCATTTCTTTAAATATTCGTATTTCCAAACCTCTTTTTATAGGTGGACTGTCTTTATCTCCAGATGAAATCATATCGAATCATACCATTAAACATGGAATTGTCCCGATAGAATGTTACGAGCTCTGTCAGAAAGAACCTGGTTGCCTTGGATTCAACTACAGAGACAAGATCAATGTTGTAAACTGCCAACTGACCAACATCATTGGAAAAAAAAATCACACCGCAATGGCTGGAGAAGGCAAATGGATACTAATGGTCGATGAAAAAGCGGTATGTTTATGTAATTCAAACTTTTGATCAGGGCGAAAAATGCTCAAAGAGAAATTCTATAATTAGCGATTACCGACTTGTGCTTTTAACAATAATGCGCTGTGTAATAACATCAGCCCGATTAATACTATATTATATCCGTCTGGACGAATAATCCGTCCGACAGATCATTCGTACATAATAGAATATACACATGCACGACAAACTTAGACGAACTATATGGACGAATAATGTTATTAAAACCAAATTGAATCGAGGTTTAGAAAGTTCACGGCCATGGAAATATTGGAAACGAATGACTACACAAGGCAGGGAAATTATTTATGTGGTATAAGAGTGCACGAGCCACGAAGGCCGTTTTATGACGGATATTAGCACAGATTAGCTATATACAGATATGAAACTTCTTTGTTTTTGCTGATTGTTTTGTGTCCCACGCGCAGCCAGCGCGTGATGACTTCCGGCGAGCTTGGCAAGTGTCATGAGGGAATTTAATGAGTAAAACGCCGTTTTTAAGACGAAAAATTGCTTTCTTAAAAAATTCTCGCTACCTATGGCTATTTCTGGAATAAATTCCTAAAGAGTATCGGTATATGTATCCTTCGTTAACTGTGGAAACGCAATTGAGCATATCTATGGGTAAAAATTGACTTTTGAAAATCAAAAAAGCTGGTCCGAAGGACATTTGCATTGGCACTATGGAATATATGTACTCTGGCTGAATTCTTTTCAATGAAGTCCCATATTTACACGTAAATATTATTTATCAATTTTTCAAGTTTCTAACCGTCTTTTAAATCTGTTTTTTGAAATAATACCAAAGCATAGAGTGCGGCTTATTGCAAATTTTAAACCTGAAACTCAAAACATAATATGGCCATGTCTTTATTTTTTGTCTTCAGAGTTCTGCTAAAAAGACTCGTGTATGGTCATAATAATCGCGCATGAGCATCAATTTGTAAACTTTGTGTAAAAAATAGTCCAAGACAAGGAGGATGAAGTTGTTTTTTATAGCAAAACTCCTAAAATCGCTAAATACACTAAATTGCTCGTCATATTTACATGCCATGTTGTTGTTGTTCATTTCAAGTACACAAAGTCCTTTTTAAGCTCTTATCATTTCGTTTTCACATTTCTATTAATCCTAGATATTTGTTAATTCATTTCATCTTATCTCCTGGAAATATATTGTATCTAAAGCATGCATTACATGTTTTCTAAACTCAAAAATAGCTCAGCCAGTGCTAAACTATTGCACTGCTTTCCATACGGCAACCCTGCACTCTTCAGCTATATTTTTTACTGTTTTTGCCAGCATCAAATAATTTCAGAAACCAGTTTTTAGCTCGGAAGATCCACTTCATCCATATTTTTAAAAATTTTAAGTCAAATGGGAAAACCCTAAAGGTTTTGTTTAAATCAGGATTTGTTTGTCAAAAATTCGATTTTTCCATCGATTTACTCATTAAATTTCAACATGACACTTGCCAAGCAAGTTACGCATGCGCACATCAGGCAAAAAGCCGTGTGACTCGATTTGGCTTCAGTTTTATATCTGTATATAGCTAATCTGTGATATTAGGGTGCTTTAAGATTGAGTACGACTACGACTACGAGATTCGTCATTCTCGCGCGTTGTTTGCTTACGCTATCAGTTAAAACTTGCCGAACTTTTAGATTCCAGTGTTTTGATAAATTTCGTACTCGAAAGCCCAACGACTATGAGGTTTGACTGATGGGGTAAGCAAACAACGCGCGAGAATGACGATTCTCGTACTCGAGTCGCCGTCAAAGTTCCCTATTATATACTAACAGACAGATGATGCGTTACGACGAACGTTAGATATTCCAATTATCTTTGTGGTGTAGCCCGTTTCACGTTTTGTCTCGTGTTCCTTCGCTATATTTATGCAAGCATTTCTAAGGGTATTTTCCCATTAGGAAAAGAGAAGTCTGAATGACATTTTAAACTCAGGTATGTTGAAAGATAGCAGATGTAAATAAAATAAAACTTTTTTACAAATACCGCAAAACGTCCCACTAAGTTATTTTAAACCAAATGAATAAAGATTCACCCAATGCTATAGAGAAACCCTTAGCTTAATTCTCACGCATTCATTAATCGCCAATCAGCAGACGATACTACACTATTTAAAAGATAATAAATGAATCCTGTTGTTATATAGGTGCTGTGTATTTTAAATGTGATTGGTTCATTCGTAGTCACATGACTTTAAATAAATGCAATGCTTTCCGCCAGGGAAACAAGTGAAAAATTGCTGCCCGCATATATTGTCATCGTGTTTTTTGAAATGGAATTTTTTTGTAACTTGTATGTTTTTGTTTCTATATAACAAAGCACTAAATGTACACTATCTGGGAAAATAGTGACTTTTGACTTCCCTCGAGTCTCAATGATTCCCTCGACTTCGTCTCGAGAAACATTCAGAGTCTTGGGAAAACAAAACTCACTATTTCCCTTGGGAGCAAACATTAAGTGTATATTTTTTGCCAATGTTGAACCTCTTACACAATCCCAAAACATGTGTAGATCTTCCAAACTACTTCGCTAGAGAAGAGTAATTTTATATCTAACTTTCAATTATGTTCAGACAGGCTATTTAGGTTAGCTGTGGTTATCCTTAAATCTAATACTAAATATTTGCCCAAATGGGGAAAAAATGAACATCATATAAGGGGTTAGAAGGATTACTTAACTAATCCTCATTATTTAAAGTTTAATATAGTTATTTTGTGATGTTTTCCATTTCTATAGCCACCAGCTGTGCAGATCTGTACAATCAAGGAGTGAGAAAAGATGGTGTTTATAACATCAATCCTGACGGCCTACAATCGTTTCAAGTCAGATGTGATATGAGCACAGATGGCGTTGGCTGGACCGTGTTTCAAAGAAGACAAGATGGAAGTCAAAATTTCTACCTTGGATGGTCAGATTATAAAGCAGGCTTTGGTGATCTTAACGGCGAGTTCTGGTTGGGCCTTGATAAAATACATCGTTTGTCCAAATCTTGCCAAAATGTTCTAAGAGTTGATTTGATGGACTTTAATGACGCTGAACGTTACGCTAAATATGGAACATTTAGTGTTGCTGATGAATCAGACAAATACAGATTGAATATTGGCAATTATTCAGGTAGACTCGCGAGTTCCTATTGTCCACCAGTTGGCCAGTTATATATCTTATCCAAATTTATTACATGACAAACCTAAATAGATCATTTTGATTTGATCCGTTCTTGAAAAAGCGAATAAAGTATAGAGTAAAAGACAGGGCGTTATTAAACTTGGTGTTCTTGACCAAAATTGAGTTTTACGTTTTAACTGTCTTGCGTCATGCAGATAGTTTTCAATTCAATTAAGGCCGTGACTCGTCACTGTTTTGAATGGAATCGTTACTCATGGGTGAGATCGTAATCTAACTGATGTTTTTCATGAGCCGGCCAGAACCGGCTCTTTTGCGGAATAGCCTTGTACTCTGGAAGAATCTATTAGTAGTAACATGAGTAAACCAAAAATTTCGAACTCTAAAGTTTATATTATCTTATACTTTTTGTATATTTTCTTGAAAGGTGATGCAGGCGATTCTCTTGCCTGGCACAATCAAATGCAGTTCTCTACCAAGGATAATGATCAGTCTGCGAATTGTGCTACGAGATTTAAAGGAGCTTGGTGGTACAAAAAATGTCATCATTCCAACCTTAATAGCCTGTACCTGGGTGCAGGTCAGAGTAGAGAAACTGGAATGAACTGGTTCTATTGGAAAAATTCATGGCGCTCTATGAAAAAAACGCAGATGAAAATTTGTCCAAACTGATTTTAAGATACCCTTGCACTGCTTGAATGTGGTACATTAACTTGTTGCTGTTGTGATCAAATAGTACAGTGATGTAGATTAGTAAAATAACAATATAGATGAATTTTAGCCAAAAATAACTTTATTACCTGACATTATTTCAGATCATTTCGTGACCCCGAACTGAAAAAATGCATTTATACCGACTTGTTGGTAATCATCTTAATCCTTAAAATCCTAGATTTTTCACATTCATTCTCTACATCATGAGCAATTTTTCTGTAACTATACCTGTGTAAACAACTGTGTGTGTAAACAACTAATATTATATATTAACAACATAGCTACTTTATTTCAGTTTCAAATTCATGTCAGAGCTATTTAGTTTTTATAGCTACACAAAGGCACAATTCATAAATTATATTTCATCTCATAAATTGTTCCACATGCACTTTCAAGGTTTCAACCAATGCTGCTATTATTTATTCTTTCATTACAATTATTGTTTCATAATTGTATGAATAAGATTAAGTACATCTTAATTAATGTGAGGCAAGGTTTCTAAACTACAATTAGCGTATCGCAGCCAGTGGGGTAGTCAGCAATAGACTACACCCAGAGAACAGAGCCAGATGGGAGTAAAAACAATTGGAAATAAACATACATTTGAAGCTAACATACTAGACTTTTAACAACGACTGTTGAAATCTAACAGTGAATTACTTGTATCAGCACTCACTCAGTGATCATGTTTAAATCCCGATAGGTGAGTTAAGCCATTCACAGCATCATCAGTAGAGCAAGTAACCACTTCTCCATTTAATTTGCTGAACAGGGAAAAAGAAACTTTTTAGATGACAGCATAAGCCGGTAAAAGCACACAAATACCCAATATACCAAGTACAATCCACGATTTTATTGGGAAGGGCAATTTTCACATCAACAAAATGTTGTTCAACTCAAACAACAAACAATGTGGATGCCAAATTTAGTGCGAAAAGTTTGGAGATTTCGTTGAGATTTCGAGCTATCCGGTTAGCTCGATAAGTACCCATGAATCAAGGTCACGGTTTCGCCATTTTACCCTTTTTCCCGCGTTTTATCCTTTTTTCCGCTTCCGCATTTTACCCTTTTCTCCGTTTTCGCCATTCTGCGTTTTACCTTCACAAAATTTCCCAATACAATACCCGCGAAAATCGCGCATTTCGTGTACTCCATGCTATTTTCTACCAGCGCATGCGCAGACAAATATCGCCTCTGTTAGCCGTGACGTTGCATATTGCCGTATTTCACGTTAAAGTGTTTGGAGTTGTTTGGAGTGTTTAAAGCCATTTTGCTGATCGACCATATTTATAATGATCATAGACAGTAACGGTCGGCGTTAGATCATATCGAACTAACGTACATGACGTCATAAAATTTTCAATAACCCTAACTCTAACCGTAATTAAGGTAAAGCCAGAGATACTATTACATAAGTATATGATCACTCCTATACTGGGTATGAGGGTAACAGACATTTACACTTTCGTGTACATTTATAAATGTAAAATGTATCATTCATCGCCATTTTTATTTTATCATTTTTATGAACCAGCTCTAGAAAGACTTCATGTAAGACTTCTGTTATTATACTTCCGTTATTGCAAAATTTATGACGTCATGTACGTTAGTTCGATATGATCTAACGCCGACCGACAGTAACTGCATGTTTAAGAGAAATAAGAAACTTGAAGATGCGAATCGAGTCAATACTAACACTTATTTTCTTTGAATAACATTATATATCAGGTGAATATATTTTGCCGTTGCGGTTGCCGTTATATTTTAACTCTGTATTATTTAGTTAAGAAGCATTTCATTTTCAATTCACATGCCTTTGTTTTGTAGCACAAAAACGCCCCATAGTAAACAGGATAAATACAAACCTTCCATCCCATCAAGTTTCATGACGTAATTTTTAAGCCTTTTTTAACACAGCATAAAAATTTATTACAGTCCAAAAACGTCCGTGCCTCGTAGGGGTTTAAAAATTACGGATTTCATATACATTTATTACTTTTTCACACATAAATCAGGGGTTATATCGGCGTTTCACCGCCCTATCTTATATATATATATATATATATATATATATATATATATATATATATATATATATATATATATATATATATATATATATATATATATGACGTCAGTTCAATGGATCTATAAAAAGCGATGATATAGCATAGCACAGATCGATCATAAATTTAAACTGATCATGCACCTTGATTATACTCGTAGTATTTTTTCCGCTCCTAGTATTTTTTCCGCTCACTCTAAGGAATAATATTCTAACATGCCAACAACCATATATATACTTTTAGATCTATAAGCATGTTTTTAATTATAGTCAGGTTTGCAGGTTTAATTAATCGTAGGTTTGCAGGTTCTAAAGTATTCACATCACTCTGTCGGATACGAGTGTCTCGGCTGTAAATTATCAATATCGATTTTAATCCGGCGCTTTCCGATGGCCACCATATTAACGAATTTGCCTGAGTAATATGATTAAACCTGCAAACCTACCCATAATAGCAACATGCCTGCATGATTGTTAGCATTCTAGGGTATTATTCCTTTGAATGAGTGGAAAAATTACATTTCGGCTGATGAGATATCAAAATGATTTACCATCGCTTACATGATAGACCAATTTATCGATGTCATAATATCGCATCGAATGCATTCAAACAAATTATATATAGTAGCGTGACAAGCCATAGTAAGTTTGTTGATCATCTCATCATATACATATTGTTTAAATAAGGCGCGAGCAAAATTTGGCGAATACACTAGACTTTATTAGCATGGGAAATTTTTTCTCAAATTTCATGAAGAATAACGTTCAGTCTTACAATATTACCTTACGGAAACGTTTATAGTGTTTTGCGGTTTGCATTATGATATTTTCTGTGGATATTGCGCCGTTAAATTAACAATAAACATATGTAAGTATGACAGAAAATGTTCACGGAAGGAGAATATGTATAGACGGAATATTTATTTGAAAGTTGCGGGTTTGGCATCCATGCAAATTGTAAGTCCGTGGTGTATACATGCAAATTAATTATTTTTTGGTGAATTTTGTGTTTGTGCTTTCATGCAAGATCAGTTACGTAGATGTCTTCAAGTTTTATGAAGGCTCTCTGGCACTCAACACAAATGACAAAAACGTCCAATTGAGACGTCCCATGCATATTACACATATTCTACAGACTACAGTGTTTACAAAGCATCAAAACTCGAAAATGACTAAACACAAAATATTTTGAGTGTATGTCCTGCACATTGCGCTAACTTCTGTGAATGCCACGCTGTTAGAAAATAGCATGTGATTATATAAAAATATGTCAAGTCCTGCATTAACGCAAAAATGATGCTTAATAATAACTCGAAATTTTTCCATACGATCTTAATCTGCGACAAACACGGAATACAACCTAAAGATTCAATTGCATGCTTGTATACATCACCACGGATTTATAATAGGGATGCAAAAATTGCAACTTTCAAAAAACTATTTTGTCTATACGTATATATATTCTCGTTCAGTGAATATTTCCAAATTCCAATCACATCTTCATATGTTTGCTTATATTTTATAGCGTTATATTCACAGAAATTCGGGCAATGATAATCTAAAAAATAAATGTTTTTTCGTCAGCGTGGTTATTTAGATATTGTCCTACTTTGATGCTATTGCTCGGGTCGAAGTCAAAGGAGATAATAACTTAACTTGATTTAACTTAGCAAATCATCTCGGCATATTATAGTACCGAGAGTGATTTTTTTAGTTTTTATTCTTAAAGAGTGTTAAAGTTTTTCTAGTATAACCCTAGCAAGCAAGCGTCTATGAAGATGTCACTAATACAAAAACATGACGTAAGTTAAATGGGTCTATAATAAGCGATGGCAGAGCATAGCACAGATCGATGATAAATGTAAAATCATGCACCTTGATTATACTCTAAAAAGTATTTTTTCCCGCCCACTTTAAGGAATGATATTCTAACATGCCAACAACCATATATACTTTTAAATCTATAAGCATGTTTTTAATTATAGTCAGGTTTGCAGGTTTAATCGTAGGTTTGCAGGTTCTAAAGTATTCACATCACTCTGTCGGATACGAGTGTCTCGGCTGTAAATTATCAATATCGATTTTAATCCGGCGCTTTCCGATGGCCGCCATATTAACGAATTTGCCTGAGTAATATGATTAAACCTGCAAACCTGCCCATAATAGCAACATGTCTGCATGATTGTTAGCATGCTAGGATATTATTCTTTTGAATTGGTGGAAAAAATTACAATTACGCTGATCAGATATCAAGATGATTTACCATCGCTTACATGATAGACCAATTTACCGACGTCATAATATCGCATCGAATGCATTCAAACAAATTATAGTTGCGTGACAAGCCTTGGTAAGTTTGTTGATCATCGCATCATATACATATTGTTTAAATTGGGCGCGACCAAAATTTGGCGAATACACTAGACTTTATTAGCATGGGAAATTTTTTCTCAAATTTCATGAAGAATAACGTTCAGTCTTACAATATTATAATGCGGAAACGTTTATACTGTTTTGCGGTTTGCATTATGATATTTTCTGTGGATATTGCGCCGTTAAATTAACAATAAACATATGTAAGTATGACAGAAAATGTTCACGGAAGGAGAATATGTATAGACGGAATATTTATTTGAACGTTGCGGGTTTGGCATCCATGCAAATTGTAAGTCCGTGGTGTATGCATGCAAAGAATTACTTTCAATTAATTATAATTAATGCAAGATCAGTTACGTAGATGTCTTCAAGTTTTATGAAGGCTCTCTGGCACTCATATCATTTCCGACACTGATGAAAAACCATTTCATTGTTAATTCACATACATTTGTTTTGCAACACAAATGACAAAAACGTCCAATTGAGACGTCCCATGCATATTACACATATTCTACAG